CTAGTGAATGTTCAATTTTGGAAACATTCAGCAAATGTGATCTGAGAAAGAATATATTCTATTATTAGAGGCCTGGTGCACAAAATTCATGAACTGGGGGCGGGGGGGGGGGGATAAAAGTTCATTCTTTTTTTATAGCCATGTAGTATTCCATTACGTAAATGTACAATAACTTTGTCCCCTTGTCCCCTCAGCCCAGCCTGCACCCTTTCCAATCCAGGACCCCTCGGGGAATGTCTGACTGCTGGTTTAGGCCTCAATTCAGGACCACTGGCTCCTAACTGCTCACCTGCCTGATCCCCCCTAACTGCCTCCCTTGCCAGCCTGATCACCCCTAAACACCCTCTGCCTGCCTAATTGCCCCTAACTGCCCACCTGACAGCCTAATCACCCCTAACTGCCTCTGCCTGCTGGCCTGATTGCCCCCAACTGTCCCCCTGCCAGTATGGTCACTGCTAATTGCCCCCCTGCCAGCCTAATAGCCCCTTACTGTCCCCCTGCTTGCCTGGTCGCCCCTAACTGATGCCCCTCACTGGCCAGGTTTCCCCTTACTGCCCCACCTTCCCACCAGCCTGGTGGCTCCCAGCTCCCCCCCCCCCCCACACACACACACTGGCTTAGTCACCCCTTATTGTTCCCCCCATGCTGGCCTGGTCACCCTACCTGTCCCCTCTGTTGGTCTGGTTACCCCAAACTTCCACCCTCACCACCCGGGTCACCCCTCACTGCCCCCGCAGTCAGCCTGGTCACCCCCAACTGCCCCCCTGCTGGCCTAGTTGCCTCCAACTTCCCCCCTGCCAGCCTGCTATTCAGTCATTTGGCTGTCCCTCACTAACCCCCCTGCTGGCCTTGTTGCCCCATGCAGCCTGCAGTTCAGTTGTTGGTCAGGTTGTTTTGGTCGTGATGGTCCCTAGCTTTTTATATATTAGGATTGTTAAGTACATTGTTAATGAGGTTAATTTTGTTAATTATATTGTTCACATTTCTTATCCCTCTCTTTAATTGTTTATAAATAATTGTAAAGTACATCTATTTACAGATTAAGTTACATGATTATATTTTTCAGTTTTTGAATTTCCATTTGTTCTATTTTTTAGGTTTAGTACTCTGGTAAAATTCTTTATCGTGATTTTAAAGTTTTTCTAACATAATAATGTCTATTATTTTTTTTTAAGTACATGTCTAATTCCAATTATCTGAGTCATCTATGGGTCCTATGTTTTGGTATGCCTCCTATTTTATTTAGTGATAGATATTGTGACAAAAAATTTTTTTAAGGCTTTTAATGCTATTATTTTTATCCAAAGAGACTTTCCCCTGTCCTCTGTGAGGCATCTAGATAATAGGCTCAGGTGAGTTCAATCAGCAACTAAGTTTATCAAAGTGAAGTTATAATCTTTACAAGGTTTTTGTTTTTTGTTTTTTTTGTTTGTTTGTTTGTTTTTGTTTTTGTTTTTTACCTACAGGCCTGGAGTAGCCTCCAAGGATTCCCAAGTGAAAGCCTGAGTGTATACAAGAGCCCTCTTCCCTTTTGGAAGATTTTAAAATGCAATGATTGTTTCCCAGGCTCCATGAGACTATCAAAAATTCCACTGTTTCAGCTTAGTTTCCTAGACTTTGCCCTGTCCAGTTTAATATTCATTAAATGTTTCACAGAAAGAAAAAAAATGGTGCCAAATGTTGAACTTCCTTCAACATTCTTTTTCTCTAGGATATTGGTCCTTTAAGTCCTGGCCACTTCAGTGGAAGCATTAATGAGCTTTATTGTTTGAAAAGAAAATCCAAAACTTAAAGGATGATTTTCCATTCATTAATGCTTTTCCTGTTCCATCACTACAAAGTTCTTCAAACTCAAGGTTATTTAATATTACAAGTTCTAGAATCTAGTTGGTTAGTTTTGTTTTAGAAGGCTTATTTAGTAGAGATTTATATTTTAACCACTATAAAACTCATTGTCAGGAAAACTAACTCAGATTTAATATCATTTTACTTAATTGATTTTTTCATTAATTATTAATGGCCAAGTGTCTCCCTATTAATCCTATGTCAGGTATATGGTTTTAGAGGTGCTTGGTTATCAAATTAGAAACAAAAGACTTAGAGTAATTTTAGATTTTCCCAAAGTCAATTCTTTCACGAGTCTGTGTGATTTAAATTTCTCTTGGAATAAATGTCATTTTAAATTAAGCTTTAATGACACAGAGGGGGAGGGGGAAGTTACCTTTCTGGCAATCCATTTTTTTGTAGATTAAAAACTCAAATCCAACTTTAGGAAATCAATCAGAGGCTGTGACTTTCCACCTGAAAAATTTATTACATTTGTTAAAAATTTTAATATATAGAAGAGTCAGAATTTTTTTAAATTTACATATTGTAAAATGTAGCCCAGCAAGGAAGAAACACACCAAAATCTGAGCTAATATTTTTTAAACCTTCCAGGTAAATATTTTTAAAATATTATTATAAAGTGTATTTTAAAGCTTCTTTTTTTAAAATGCAAAGATTTCATCAACACTTTAATTACTTTCAGTGTGTTGTCAACTGATAAGCCATGAGCTGTTTTGTTCTTATCATATAAAATTGTTTTGGAAAGAAATTTAATAAAAATGAATTTGTCTGATAAACAAATGAATCCATTACATTAAAGGTGAATACATTTTTATTTTTTTAAAGCTTTATTGTTGAAAGTATAAAATATGCTCCCCCTTTTCCCCACTGACCTCTCAACGCCCACCCTCACTCCCCACCCTATTATCTGTGTCCATGGGTTATATACTATGCATACAAGCTCATTAGTTAATTTCTTCCCACCTACCCACTCTCCCCTGCCTTCCCTCTGAGGTTAGTCAGTCCATTTGATGCTTCTATATCTCTGGATCTATTTTTGTTCATCAGTTTATATTGTTCATTAGATTCCACGTATGAGTGAAATCTGACTGGCTTATTTCACTTAACATAATGCTCTTCAGGTCCAACCATGCTCTTGCAAATGGTAAGAGCTATTTTTTATAGCTGCATAGTTTTCTATTCTGTAGATTTACCACAATTTTTTAATTCACTTATCTGTTGATGTGTACTTAGGCTGGTTCCAAATTTTAGCTATTGTAATCTGTGCTGCTATGAACAACCCAGAAGCGGGTTCCCTTTTCTCCACATCCTTGCCAGCACTTGTCATTTGTTAATTTGTTGATGATAGCCATTCTGACAGGTGTGCAGTGGTATCTCATTGTTGTTTTGATTTGCATCTCTCAGATGATTATTGACTTTGAGCATTGTTTCATATGCCTTTGGGCCTTTGGGCCTTCTGTATGTCCACTTTGGAGAAGTGTCTATTTAGGTCCTTTCCCATTTTTTTAATTGGATTGTTTAACTTCCTTTTGTTAAGTTGTATGAGTTCCCTATAAATTTTGGAGATTAACCCCTTATGGGATGTCACATTGGCACATATGTTCTTCTATGTGGTGGGCTCTCTTTTTTTGTTGATGGTTTCTTTTGATGTACAAAAGCTTTTTATTTTTATATAGTCCCATTTGTTTATTTTTTCCTTACTTTTCATTGTCCTAGGAGATGCATTGCTATAAGAGATGTATGAGATTTTGCAACCTATAGTTTATTCTAGGATTTTTATTGTTTCATGACTTACTTTTAAGGCTTTTATCCATTTTTAATTTATTTTTGTGTATGGTGTAAGTTGGTGGCCCCATTTCATTTTTTTTGCAGGTATCTGTCCAATTTTCCCAACACCATTTATTGAAGAGACTGTCTTCACTCCATTGTATGCTCTTGTCTCCTTTATCAAATATTAATTGAGCATAATGGCTTGGGTTGATTTCTGGGTTCTCTGTTCTGTTCTATTGGTCTATAAGTCTCTTCTTGTGCCAATCCCAGGTTGTTTTGAGTACTGTGGCTTTTGGAAAAAAGCATTAAACAAAATCCTATATTTTTTAATAGGTAACTTAAACCAAAAATGACACTATGAAAACTAACATTTGTTTTCCCTCAATATTGGCCCATAAATAGTAGGCTCAGGTACAATTTCCCAATTATAATAACATGAATAGATATTTGATGTAGCTTATTATCTAAAAAATAATGCATATTAAAACAAGAGATTATTTATTGGCAGCAAAGTGTTTCTTCAGGGCTTAATTTAGAATTCCTGAAATAACAAAGTCTCAGTCTTAAAAGTGATCCTCTGTAGTTATTATTTAGGGAAAATATTATTGCTTCATAGCAGTTTCAGATACTTAATTGAACAGTTTAAAAAAAAAATTAAGGCTTTTAGTACAATACCAAGGCATTGGAAGGCTGATGTGAATGAACACATGTAGTACTAGAAGGTGGGCTTCCTGGAATGATTGGGAGGTTTGAGTACAGAGGTAGAAGAGGTCATTCCTCTCATGTTTAGTGATATCTCGAGGACTTTTGGGTATCCTGCTACTTTATCAGCTTCTACCCATGCCCTAGGGTTGTACAGGCAGATAGAAATGTTGGGCAGTGATGGTTTAATTAATCTAACTGTACTCATTCATGATCAGAGAGCAGCCAAACATCAGGTCTGATAAGATAGAACTATAGTGGGGTTTGGGTGCAAAACTTGGCTGATCTAATAGGTAAGAATAGGTTGGATTAGATTTCAGCACTGCACAGGTTAAATATACTTTAGACTTCACAAGCTACAGAAGAGTCTGATTATAGATATAGATATAGATATAGATATAGATATAGATATATAGATATATAGATATATGTTTTATTGATTTTTTACAGAGAGGAAGGGAGGAGATAGAGAGCTAGAAACATAGATGAGAGAGAAACATCGATAAGCTGCCTCGTGCACACTCCCTACTGGGGATATGCCCACAACCAAGGTACATGCCCTTGACTGGAATCAAACTTGGGACCCCTCAATCCGCAGGCCGACACTCTATCCACTGAGCCAAACCGGTTAGGGCAAGTGTCTGATTCTTGTAAGTTCTTGTGATAGCAAGACAAGCTTCTGATCTTGAAAATACAGAGGGAGGAGCTCAAATATGCAGGAGTAAGATAAGGATGAGGTCTGGAACTTCTAAGGCACAGGTTCAATCTGATTTAAAAAAAAAAGCATATAGTGAGAATCCATTTTTGTCAGAGTCAGGAGTGCAACATCAGTATGGACATTAGAGCAAGGCTGATTTAAAGCTGAACCCCTAAATGTATCTCCAATGGCTTCCTACACTCTAACCAGAAATAGAATTGATCTTAGCATGTGGTGCAGGGCCAAAACTCCAGTAATCACTCAGTGGTCCCAGTTGTGGGACAGGAGGATTATAAGAGAAGGGAATTGTTTAGTCACTGTAGCCTTCTTTACTCTAGGGATTTTTTTCTGTAGATTTCTTATTCTTCTCCATGGTTCTTAATTTTGAAAATATGGAGGGAGTTTTTGCCTTGATCATCAGGTATCATTCTTGTGACACATAATAGATGCTCAGCAGGGTTAGAGCAGGGGCCACAAATCCCCTTCCTGACATGGCTTCAGTTTGGCCAAGGCCTTACAGATGGCCCAGAACCCTGGGTTTTTCTCTCTGACTGAGGACTAAAAAATGACTGGAATTCCCTGGGTTTTAATCTGATGACTGAAGACTAAATAATAACTGGAAGTGTCCATGACTAAACTACGGTCTTCATACTTCCAAAACACTAAAATAAATGTCCTTAATGGAACTGTTGGCTAGGGAAAATACATCTATAGAATTCTTACTTATACTTCCATCCAAATATTTTTTCTCATATTCCAAACTCCAGGCTTTCAGCAGATTGCTTAATCATTTGGAAAGATGCTGAGCCAGCAGTTGGCCTTGCTCAGCCCAGATCTAACCACACAGCAGTAGAGTGATGCCTGGTCCTATGCAAGTCAATGTCTTAGTAGGCCAGTCCCTTCAGGACACTCACACAGCTAAACATATTTTTTTCAGTCTCCTTAGTCCAGAGTATCATAATAGTGACTTGGAAAGTAAAGGTACCAATAAACTAGGGGAGCCTGGGACCTGATGAGTAGGTACATGCAACAAGGAGAAGCATATTCTTGTGGTCAGGTGAGGATGAGCTGAGGACATTCAGCTGCAAGTGAAGAGAAATCTAGCACACAAAAAAGCAAAAACACCTGTCTGATGTTCAGATTATAGACCCAAATAGTAGGCAGTCAGGAGGAGCAAAGTGTAGGGATAAAACGATGGTCTACAGATTTTTACAAACTCTGAATGGAATTCTAAAGCTTCCATTGACTATCCACTACTTCATCCATCCAACATTTTCTACAACTTTCTGTGCTCCAGTGCTATACTAGACATGTGACAGGTCCAAATACTATCAGTGAAATAGATTTTCTACACAGAAGTAAGAATAGGATAAAATAAGGAAATTTCTATTTATGAAGTATTTACCACCTGCCAGGCACTTTCATATTGAGGAATTAATTTAAGCCTCAAAACAATCCTGTAGACATTATTATCCCCAGTTCTGAAGAATGGTAAGGTGCACATTTCATGAAAGTAGGATAAAGAGGAATAAATCCAGAGTGAAGATGATCATCCATGGGACTTACATGAGATACAATCTGAATCTCTGCCTATTTACCTGTAAAACAAATGATACCTATCTTGAAGGATAGTTTTAAGGAGGAAATTGCATTAAATGACAAATATGAAAGTCCATACTGCAGGGTTTAACAACAAGTAAGTGTTGTGAAATGTGTCTTCTACATTACATCAGAAATCTTACAAGAGGCATAGGGGAGAGGCTACCGATGACAAGGATGGGGCCTGGCCAGGAAAACATACAATAATCCTTGCACTGAGAAAAACTGGTGTGGGTCATTCTGGCCATAGGTAACATGCCTCAGAAATCCCAGGCTTAGCCACCAATTCTAAGGGGCCTGGAAAACCAAGGCAGGAGTGAATAGAAAGCAGAGGATTAGTCATTAGCACAAAGCAGAAGTCCAGTCACTGGAACTGAGGCACAAGGTTAGGGAAGGACTTGTCAGAACAAGAGTGTTGCTGCATTTCAGCAGGGGCCTGTAGCATCATCCCTGCCAAGAGGAAAGTCATTGTCAGAATTCATGCCTGTATATTCCCATCCCCAGGAGTTATGGCTTTCAGCGCCTCCTCCCATCATTCAGCAACTGCTAAGTTGTCTGCACCTGTCTCCAGCCTTGTTTTCTAGATTCCATGGACTGACCCTCTCTGTCTCTGGTGTTCTCTTCTCCCAGCTAGGTTTAATGGTAAGTTCACTCAAAGCTAGGTCATCCAAAGTCCAGGGCCCTTTGAACTGCTTGATGAGTCACCAGACCTATGGAAGGCTTAGTCTGCTAGTGGGAGAAGTGGCTCCAGATTGGGAAGGAAGTGACTGTAGACATAGAGCCTAGAGTTCAAAAAAGGTACTTTCTCTCACTTCAATTCATTAATTATGCCATAATTGAAGAGCAGGGTAGAAAGTTTGCTTTGTTTCTATATAATTCACGCAATTGGGCCTGGTTCGCATTACAGAATAATCACATTTCTCTAGGTTTGAACTCCTACCCAGCTTAAACCCTAGGAAATTTGCTTTCTTGAATACCCACCAAGTAAGTTCCCACTTATTTTCTACTTGAACCCATGTCCACAAAACATTAGTAGAAAAAGTTTTTAGATATGGAATCAGAGAGGATATAAAAGCAGAGAAGGGTATATATTTGAGTGGTAGATCCAGAATATAAATTATTAAAAAGTTATGAAGAATTGTCATCTTCATTTAGAACACTATTTTGCACACCTTTAAATTCAAATTCTTCCACTTGTCAGAGCTTACATAAAATCCTTCCATGATCACCATTAATAATTTCTTCCTTCTCAAGAGTTCCTTAGTCCCTCTTATATTTTTGTCTTATCACATTTATTACTTCTTACATAGATGGATCCAAGTTCAGTAATGCCTAAAGTTTAAACACTGCAGGAGCCTCTTCAGGAAAAATAAGGGGAAGTGATCAGTAAAATATTGCATATGAACATAAATATTTATTTAGAATGGCAAAATCACAAAATCTAATAAAACAATATTTTCATTAAGTAATTACCTGTTGGAATTATTTATTGTAATATCCTATCTAATAAAAAAAAGTAATAAGTAAATTGACCATTACTCCAAACAAAAATGGCCATCACAAGATGGCCTGGAGGGAACAGCAGTTATGGGTGATCAGGCCAGCAGGGGAGGGCAGTTAGGGGCAACCAAACTGGGAGGGGAAGGCAGTTAAGGGTGATTAGGCCAGCAGGGAGGGAAGTTAGGGGTGATCAGGCCAGCAGGGAGGGAAGTTAGGGGTGACCAGGCCTGCCAGGGAAGGACAGTTGGGAGGGACCAGGCCTGCAGGGAAGGGCAACTGAGGACAAAGAGGCCTGCAGCTAGGGGCAACCAGGCTGGCAAGGGAGGGCAGTTAGGGGTAACCAGGCTAGCAGGAGAGGGCAGTTAGGGGCAATCGGGCTGGCATGGGAGCAATTATGCATCAATCAAACTGGCAGGGGAGTGGTTAGGGGGTGATCAGGCTGGCAGGCAGAAGCAGTTAGGGGCAATCAGGCAGCCAGGCAGGTAAGTGGTTGGGAGCCAACAGTCCTGGATTGTGAGAGGAATCCCAGATTAAAAAGGGTGCAGGCTGGGCTGAGGGACATGTTCTCCCCTCCCCCCTGCACAAATTTCTTGCACTGGGCCTCTAGTTTTCTATAGAGAAAATAGAAAGACAATTCAGACTTTTCTCTCTAATGTTGGTCACAACTGTTTTATTGTTGGTAACTGAAATAAATAACACATACATCTATAATATACACATAATCTTTGTTGCCCTACCACCAGGTTGTCACCAGATGCCTAACACATTCTGTGTTTTTATGCAGTTACCAATAATAAGGAAAAAATGTATGGTGTATGTATAATTGCATAACTATTTATGCTGTGTTATTGGGAGTATTCCTGACTTTAGATAGTTCTGTTTTGACCAGGTACTGCCAAGAATCAAAACACCTGTTTACAGTTTTCCATATCTGATTAGAAGAATTTCCACAGACTAACTATTGGCTCCCTGGACTTCCAACCTTGTGTCCCATCCATCTGCCTTGGCTGGGACTAATATGCCAGCCCACCCCACAATTGGTTGAAGTAGTGTCCTCTGTGTCCACCTCTCACCCCATGGGCCTGGCCACTCTGCTCAGCTCCAGGCAAGCCTCTGCATTCCATGACAGTGCACTCTGCCCTCACATGCTGCTCACCCTAAGTGAGAAAAAAAGAGAGCAGTTGGCCCACAGACAACTACACAGAAAGATAGGGCTCATGGCTGGTGAGTGCAGTGGCAGCGGTAGGAGCCTCTCCTGCCTCTGTGGCAGTGCTAAGGAGCAGCGAGCTGAGTGGTGAGGAGTAGTGAGCAGGCTAGTGGTAAGGAGCGAGGGGTCCCGGACTGTGAGAGGAATTTCCAACTGCTAGCAGGTGGACATCTACTGAGGGGTCCTGGACTGTGATAGGGTGCAGGCCAGGCTGAGGGACCCCCAGTGCACCGGGCCTCTAGTATATATATTATCTGGTTAATTTCTTCCCACCCCTTTTTTCTCCCTTCCCTCTCAGATTCATATCCCTAGTTCTTAACACAGCATGGCACATGCTAGGTATTACTTTTGAATAAATAGAGAAGTATGCAAATTAAAATAGAAAACACACTTGTACTATATGATTTATCAAATTTGGATACATTATCATATTTGGTCTGCAGTTTTCTTTTAAGAAATATTGCAGACAATGTGGAAGCCACCTAGGCAAGCTTCCTGGATCGTATTTGGCAGTCTGTTTGATGCCTCCATGTCTCTTATCTCCATCACTAACACTATTGTTGCTCAGTAATTTGGTGTTTATCTTTCTCATGAAAGTTCTTCTGCTTTGCGACATATTTACCCCTTAATAATAACTGCAATGTTTTCAAATTTTATAAACTTTATATAACTGACACTATGTTCTACATAATCATCCTACACTTATTTCCTTCTACATTATGTTTTTCAAAAAGATCCCTGTTTATACCTGTAGTTACAGTTC